TTTTGTACTAGAAGCTAGATGAGAAGGAGATATGTTTGTTTGGCTGGATTGCATTTTCTTACAAACCTGCTAATATAATATGTTGCATCTTTCTTTTTGTTAGTTGTTTTCTCCATTTATTTTCTTAGCTTTTGAATTTTGTATGTTTGTAGCAACTCCTGCCCGAAAGATATTCATTGGTTTTTGGGGAGTTCTCTATTGGCTTTTTCTTCTCTCTTGGCTTTTTCTTCTGGATAGATGTACTTGTCATGTATGTCCAACATACACAAAACATACATAAAATGGGCATGGCCGACACCTGGTTGTGAACTTGAGCCTGTGAACCAGCCTGGTAGGTGTGAGCATTGGGCAGCCTGATTTGAGCACCTATGTATGCAATGGGAATGGGTAACATGGGCAGCCCTGACCTGCTCGGAGAGCATTTATGGGAATGAGCAACATTGGCAACCTGGTCCCGCGGACTTAAAAATTCCTCCTACAATTAAGGTCTGTTCAAAATGGTCATCAAACAAAATATGTACTCAATTAATCTAGTTTGGACTCAATTAATCTAGTTTGCTGTCAAATGTGCTGTCCTACCTGTGTCAAATGTGCTGGCCAACATGTGGACGACAAATTATTATAGTCCACACAATGTTACGTGGACCATAACAAAATGTACATTTTTAATATATTAAATGTACATTATTTTGGTACTGAATGTACATTGTATAATATAATGTACACTCAGTACAAAAATAATGTACATCCCCTAAATAAAATTTAGGGGATGTACATTATTTTTGTATTGAATGTACATTACTTTTGTATTGAATGTACATTATTTTACCGCATACAAAATATGGTTCATGTAACTTATGTAGACCATGGTCCACACAATAATGAGTGGCCAATATGCGTAACCCAATTTATTTCAATTAGTTTATTTATTTATTTTACAAATATTTTTTAAGAGATAATACTTTTAAATTCAAATTTTAAATGGGTTATCTAATGAATAATAATTCTAATTAGTCTGTTGCATAAAAGATAAAAACAAAATCTTATAATATCTTGTTGTAATTATCCTTTTAGGAGTGATATATTATATATATTATTAATCTTGCATTACAAGTAAAATTCTATTCTCTCCGAGTTTCCTTGATCTCAGGCACTAACAATGGTTCAACCCGGTCTTCCTCTCCCTCACAACGGAATTGTTACTCCTAACACCGAGAATGATCCTTTCAATTTCCCTCTGGGAATTGTTACTCCTAGCAACAAACGAATTGTTACTCACTGGAATGATCCTTTGAATTTCCCTCCGGGTGTTAGATTTTGTCCAACTGATTATGAACTCATTTATTATCTCAAGATGAAGAGTATGAACTATGTATTGCCTCCCAACGAGATTCAAGAAGTTAACCTCTATAAATATAGTCCAGATCATCTTTCAGGTTTTATTCTTTTAATTATTATTTTTTTTTATTTTTTTTTTTATGTATATGTAGTATGGATTTTCATGATATAAACCTGTACTTATTTCTACGATTATCGATTATCTCACTAATTAACACACCCTAAAAATGCAGGAAGGTACCGAAAACTGGAAGAGAAGGATTTGCATTATGTTTTCACTCATAGGGATAGGAAGTATAAAAATGGTAGTAGGCCAAATAGGGCAGCTGGGGGTGGGTATTGGAAAGCCACAAGTGCTGACAAGGTCATCAAACATGGAGCTCTTGGTGTTATAGGGTGCAAAAAGACATTAGTTTTCTATGAAGGAAGACCTCCAAAGGGTGAGAAGACAAACTGGATTATGCACGAGTACACAGTGAAAGAGAAAGAGGCTACAACTCCAAAACCCAGGGGAGATAATGCTGATCCCATGAGGGTAATATAATAATTACAGATAAATTAAAACCCTCTTCAATTCTAATCTTGTTTTGGTAATCCATTTGTCACTGTTCTTTGATTATTGGACTAATAATAATTAATGTGGTTAATTGCATGCTTGATTGCTTGTTTTGTTTTAGTTGGATGATTGGGTTCTATGTAGAATTTACAAAAAATCAGACAAGGTAGGGAAGTCTACAAAGAAAGAAGATGAGAATAATAATGTTGAAGCAAATACATCTCCCCCTCCATGTCCCTCTCAAGATGAAGAAAGTGAGGAGCTTGCATGGGCAGCTCAGTTGGTCACAAATGTCCCTCCATGTCCCCCTCAAGATGGAGAAAGTGAGGAGTTCGCATGGGCATCTCAATTGGTCACAGAGGTCCCTCCATGTCCTCCTCAAGATAGAAAAAGTGAAGAGCCCGTATGGGCAGCTCAGTTTGTCACAGAGGTCCCTTCATGTCCCCCTCAAGATGGAAAAAGTGAAGAGCCTGAGCTCGTATGGGCAGCTCAGTTGGCCACAGAGGTCCCTCCATGTCCCCCTCAAGATGGAAAAAGTGAGGAGCCCGTATGGGCAGCTCAGTTTGTCACAGAGGTCTCTCCATATCTCCCTCAAGATGGAAAAAGTGAGGAGCCCGCATGGGCAGCTCCGTGGGTCACAGAAGTGAAGTTCGAGAACAATGAAGAAAGTGATGAGAAGGTCCAAGAGGTGCGATTCTCATTCCCGCCCAATGAAATGTTAACTTTCCAAGATGGCTTCAAGTTCGGGAATGACCCTGCCTATAATGATCCTCAATTCATTAACACTAATTCTTTTACTCCAGAGAACATCTACAACCACCCTTTCGATTTTCATATTGACCATTATCTTTGTAGTGATTTTGATGATCAAATCTGAAGTTGTAATTTATCAGAAATGTAATGGTCTATCTAGTTATCTTTTAGTTAGATTGATTCGTATTATTTTAGAAGAACGAACATTCTTTAATTTTTCAGTTTTTTCATTTATTGAGTTTTTATTCTTCGTTTACGTACCTGTTTTTAAATTAGAAAAAAATAAATGCATATAAAGTGGGGTTTGCTGATGGCTGGAATTGTTCATGGCCCTTCGGATCCTTAAATTGCAGAGATTTGATCATTGAAATAACCCTTCAAATTGAGGGACATATTTCTTCTTACTGAATCAGTAAGCTAAACTCGAATCGAATTTTCAAGATTGCAAAGAATTGAAATTGATAATGATGTTTGAATTAGCCTTGCCTAGAATGAAATCATGCAAGGAAACAAAATGATATGAATATAGTATGTACTCCCTAACAATGAAATCATAAGACCACTTGAACAGAAAGGAAATTGTGATCTAAACTAACAATACCAAAAGAAATATACATGGATTTTAGTAATAGACAATTACAACCTGTATTTAAAAGCATGACTAAAATAGAAGGATCCAGATTAAGCTTTAAAAAAACAAATAGAAAAATCTGAAACAGAATTACTAATTAAACACCATAATAAGTTCCCTCTAAATGATAAACTAGAAATGAGAGTAGTAATATTTAATGGAGGTATAGCTACTAAAGTAAAGCATTAATAATAATTTTAATATCCCCGGTAAGATATAAGGGTGTATTTGGTTCATGGGTTTACACTAAGAATAAGAATCAAAATTATAGTTAGTGTTTGGTTGACAACTTTTAAAAACACAACTATGAAATTTTAGGAAAATTTACACTTTTCATCGCTAAATTATCATTGATGTTGCACTTTTCGTCTATTTACTAATAAAACATTAGGGATGGAAGTTATCATTGATGTTGCACTTCTCATCCATTTACTAATAAAATATTATTAGGGACAGAATTTGCAATTTTAGTATAACTCATGGACGAAAAGTGAACACGAAATGACAAAAAGTGAAACGCCAATGATAATTTAGGGACGAATTCTATAATTACTCTATAACTTAGGGGCGAAAAGTACAATTTTCCTTGAAATTTCATTACCCATTCAATTAAAAATCTCATTCCCTATTAATTACTCCCTCCGTCCCTAATTGATTGTCTCATTTGCTTTTTGCACGATTTTTAATACAACATAACAAATATCACTAACTTTCCGATTTTGCCCCTCAAAAGTAGATGTTATTGTACAAAATATAATTATCTCTAGAAATTTGAAAAGTCAAAAGGGTAAATTGAAAAATGTAGAGTGATAGTTATGTTCAATTTTAAAAAGATGACACTATTTTGGTACAAACTAAAAAGGAAAGTAAGACAGGTAAAATGGGACGAAGGGAGTAATTAAAAAGTGTTATAAATATTATACTTATTATGGACATTATTATATAGTATTGTAACGTTTGTAACGGTTATGTAATTATCTCTCATTATTGCTTCCGTTAATTACCTTGTATGTATATATATTCCATACTTATTGTATAGAGTGATATATGAATGAAGATGAGATTCCCTTTTTTCTCTCTATTCTATTTTTCTTTTAACACGTTATCAGCTCTTTGCTCTACCTCTTCGGGTGAACCGAAGACAAGGGAAATGTTCGAGACATTCTGTCTGACTTGCGTCGTCAGGGTGTTACGCTGCCCTCATCCGCGATCCGAAGGCTCCAGGAAGGCGATGGTGGTTCGGCGTTGTCCGGAATCGTCTCCAACACCAATCTGCACCATCGCCAAAATAAGTTGGCCACAAATCGGATCCTTGATCGGAAGGTTCACCGTCGTTTGTCACTGATCGGATCCTTGATCGGACACAAATCCCAATTTCTGATATTCTCGATGATTCTTCGTCTCAAGTGGTGGCATCGATGGTTGAGACTGGTCTGGTTAATTTGGTATCGGTGATGTGGAGTTTGGCTGCTCCCGTCGATGCTTTGGAAGGGAAAGAAAGAATCTCGGAAAGACATGCACAGAGAAAATAAAAAAGAATTGCCAGAGTTTAATTTCGACCGTACTCTAGTTGGCCAGGTCTGTCTTCTACTATTCTAATTTGATAAAATATCTATACATGCATATATTCATGGTTATCATTTAAGAGGGTGATGTGTTATATGTGTTTACACCTAGCTAATTGATACATCAGTTTTGTAAGCTGTAAGCATAATTGAAGCTTTCTCTGTTGAATGACTCTCTGCATATATGCCCTCAATCCCAAGTCTAACTGCTGTTCCAGTTGAATCTGAGTTGGAGTTTGATTATAGTTTTTGGAGAATGAAACTTGAAAATGATTTGATCTTGTTGCATGTTTCCGGGTTTCCTTTCTTGAAAGAAAAATCAATGAGCACGTAGAATAAAAGTTTTCTAGTATAGGCTTAATCATATCAGAAAGAGAGTTTTTTTTTTTTCCAGATTTGTGTCCTGCTTTGGTGCCTTCCATGTTTCTATTGGTCCTTTCATGACACCTGGGAGTTATCTGTATGGTCACACAGTGTTTTTGTTGAATATTCCATACTCATTCGTAGATGAAACGTTTTAGTTTTTGGTGTCTTTTGATGAGCAAGCAATCTCTACAAGTCAGCCTGTGAAAGAGAGTGCATGATTATTCTTTTTCAGATCTGTTGATACTGTTTGTAACATTGCACTGTTCTAGGCCATGATAATAGGGTAACAATCATTTGCTATAGGCCATATATCTGCAACTCCTATTTCTAAAGCTATGTTACTATCCAAAAGTTAAAATTGACTCATATACATCGTGATGGTTTGCTGATGTTATCACATCTGTGCTTATTGTTATGGTTATTTTGAATCATCCAGTAACTAAGTTCTTTAATTTTGCTTATTTAATACATGTTTTCCTTGCTATTATCATTTAATTATGGTTCGCACTTGTTTTGAATATTTTACGGTGTTTGTTAGTGTTTTTGAACCATTTTAGGTCAAAGATATGACCAAGGGGAGTTCAAGGATGAGTTTGGAGCAATTTTGGATGAGTTCGGGGCCCAGTGGACTCGACACGTCGAAATTTTCCAGTAGCTAATTAATTCGTGCACAGGAAGTCTCGACGCGTCGAATATGCTTCTGTTTCTGGGATAAAAACAGACGCCTAAAGTGGCGCGGATAAAAAATAGATGCTTAAAGTGGCGCAGCTGGGCAAAATTCAATACAAGCGCGAGATCTCTTTTCCTAATATCAATTGCGCGGATTTCAAGGCTCATATCTCCATATTAAAAGTTAGCAATTCAAGGAATCTTCCAAATTCTAAATATCATTAAAGACGACAATTTCTTTATTTAAATATAGGAATTAGAATTTGAGTCCAATTTGGTACAAGATTCCTATTTCATCTCAACTTTGTACCCACTATAAAATCCCTCCTTCCTCAACCCTAATAAGGGAGACCGGAGACCGGGAGAATTCAGAGATTCTTGGAGACAAGAAGGAGAGAAATCAAGAGCCACAAGTTGTCTTGGAAAGCAAGAAGAAGACTAGGGAGATTTGGGAAAATCGTCTGGTTAATTCTTGTACTCTTTTGATGATTTGTAATTCTTTATTTATATTTGCTATGTATAATTTAGTCATGCTTGGCTAAATTCTTTAGAGATTCTTGGGTAAAAGTGTTTATGAACCTATGTGCCTGAGCTTTCAGTTTCTTCAATATATTATTATTTGGGTTTAATACTTGTGTTGCAATCGTGATAATATTGTTTGATGCTTGTAATTAATGGCCATAGTTACTAGCTTCATAGCCATGTTTGTGTCACCAATGGGAGTTGGGGCATAAATTAGGGCACACACGATTGCACCTAATGGTTGGTCCTTGGGAAAGGGGAACTTATTAGGGGAAGTTTATTCTAGATTGTTGCCAATCGGGAGATGGTAGCAATTAGGAATAATTGAATGCTGATCTTTGATCTTATTGGGTGTTTAAGCCATGGGAGTGGAAATTCACTAGGAATAGAGATTACGGGAGTAATTCGATTCCACTTTGCATTCCCACACAAATCTTAATTCCAAACTAAATATTGCAAACGATAATTGGCACTAGGTGATTACATACTTGAATCCCATGAATCTCAACTTCTCTCTAATTGTTTTCAAAATCCTGAACCTCTGTTTTATTTTATTTATTTTATGCCAATCAATCATCTAAGTAATTGTTAGGATTAGCTCTAATTAATAAGTTAGTAACTAGTGCTTGATACAACCACTTTCCTGTGGATCGATAACTCGTACTCCGAGAATTATTTGTTTGCAAATATACTACGCATCATTTGCCTAAAGCAAACAAATTGTGAATTAATTTCTTTTACACATCGTAATCACTGCTTGAAGATTCTGATCGGCGCAGTTTGAAAACTAAATCGGAGAAAAATACTTGTTGAACTCCTTTTGGCATGAAATTTTTTCTGGAGAACCTAGACTCGTGATATTTGATGTCTGTAAAAAGATTTTGTTAAAAATATGTTTTGGTTATTCCAGAAAAATTTGTAAAGTTTTGGTAGTGTGCTGCCAATTATTTTTTTGCCTGGAGCAATGTTGGAAAACTTTTCGAAAAAATACTTCCACACCTTGGATTGACATGAAAATTTTTATGTACTTTCAAGACTTGCTGAATTTCATATATGCAAAATTTGGTGTAATTCCAGAAAATTTTGCAATCTAAATGCATGCGTATAATTTAACTGTGAAGTATGCATTTTGTGGATTCACAAATGCAATCTGAATGCATGCGTATACTTTATCTGTGAAGTATGCATATTGTTGATTCACAAGAAAACATGTTTAGTATCACCCATTCCATGTATCCAAATTGATGCTTAATTTTTTTAGAAAGCATGATTAATAGACAAAAATTATGATACGTTATCTTGATGAGTTCACTCTATTGTATGTTGAGTACTCTACTTGTTTCTCTAATTGTCGTGAAACACTTATTTAAGATACACAATATCATATTTTTTAACTAAAGCTCTAAATCTTAATAGAGCTTTGTTCGGAAAGCAAATTATACAATTTTGGAGGAAGTATGTTTTTTTGGGGACCTTCAAAATTGAAAAATCATTATGCTGATCCACTACATATCACATACGCTAGTACAGGATGCATTTTCCTATCTGCGTTCTTTTTTTTAGTATGCAACCCTTCTAGCTATATCCCATCATGAGAAATCAATAGTGATGTTGGTTGCATTATAAGATCTTTTCTCGGCATTAGGGGGAGATTTGAAATTTCTAATTAATTAAATGCCGAGAAATTGATAAAAATCTTCAAACCCATGTACTAGCCTTATAGAACCAGAAGTTCAGACATTGAACAAATTATATGCTAGAAATCTCAAGGAGTGACTAAGTCCATAGAAAATATTTTAAGAGTTGAAATCCCCAACTAGTACTAAACATCTCTACCATTATGCTAGAAGCATATATTGGTTTAAGAATTTACAAAACTAGATCTAGTATAGAGATTTCGTCACTCCAGAAATATAGAAATTTTATCCTGAAGATATTCGTCTAGAAGGCGAAAATCCCCCAGTAAAATTGTAGGTGCACCAAATAACTAAAATACTGGGGAAACGGAACAACCAAATCCAAATACTCTTGGGAAATACCATATATTTGGTTGATACAAAATTGTCATGTGTATAAAAGATATTTACAAAGCTGTTACAGTTGTCGACAACATATTTTGCCTCTATTGCTCATAAATACTTAAATCTGGATCCAGAAATGAAAACAGTAGTATAACGCCTGCAGCGTGCTAACTGTTTTCATAGAAAATAGCAATTAAGGCATACAAATCAAAACTCGCTAATAAAATGCGAGTTGAGGTTTTCGCAGAGACCCAATATTAGTCATGGCTTTATATTCCGCTATTCAATAAAACTAGCAGTAAATAAATTAGATATGTAGCTAATAGTTATAGTTATCACATATTTTTATGGGTAACTTGTTACTTATATTTAAAATCTTTGATGGATTTTCTCAGAATGTGATGAATGAAAATCACAGAAGTATAAAAGTTAGTAAGTTACTAACTATGATCTTTCTTATAGTCAATAAATTGACTAAAGGTATTTTTCCCCCAGAACAAAGTATGAAAATATATTATCATAAACATGCCTAGTAATGTTATATGTGATTGGGAAACTCAAATATCGTTTCCACTTGAAAATATCTTAAATATATCCTCTAGTTTATCTTGAAAAATCCCTAATGGATTTATAATTCTCGAAATGAAGATTTATTTAAGTGTCATTATTTACTTTTTAAAGAGTTGCGAATGGGGTTATTATCCTCATATAGAAGGAATAATATGTATCATTATGTGCTCAATAAAGAGTTGATAATGGACTTATTTATTATCTCAATCAAATATTTATGGTGTAAACATCAATGAAATATATAAAGAGCTTGAAGATGTCAGTTCATGTTTAAAGACTGAGATTTTTGAAATAAAAAACTTGTGAAAGCTATAAGTATTATCTCGACTTGAAGATCAAATTTTTACTTGAAGATTTTTTTTTTTTTTATACACCAGTTAGCTAATACTTGATTTTGATTAGATACTTATACAAATCAATATATAATGGGATACTTGGGCACTGGCTATTATTTTTGTATCCCATAATGTCAAGTTCCAAAACTGGTTGTACTATATTTACCCCCATTGTCCTATAAAAGGACAATAAAGATTGTGTCGCTCAAATGATAAAATAATATATAATGAAATCTTTTGACTAAGATATTATGGTGTCAATCTTATACCCACGTGAGCTCCAGGATAGTCATGGGTTTATTATAAAGTATATTTGTTGACAATTGTACATATTTATTTACAAGATTCCTCTATACATTTTGGAAATTTAATGTATAGGATATCAAGATTGTTATCTTGAGGGGGAGTATAATTTTACATGAATCAATCCTGAAGATTGATGACTAACGACACATACATCATGTACTCTTTTCCTCAACTAATTTTTTTCACCAGGTTTTTCTAATGAGGTTTTTAATGAGGCATGAGCATGATATAGTATTGTCCAAGGGGGAGTGTTATAAATATTATACTTATTATGGACATTATTATATAGTATTGTAACGTTTGTAACGGTTATGTAATTATCTCTCGTTATTGCTTCCGTTAATTACCTTGTATTTATATATATATATTCCATACTTGTTGTATAGAGTGATATATGAATGAAGATGAGATTCCCATTTTTCTCTCTATTCTATTTTTCCTTTTAACAAAAAGTGATATCATTTCATCTCATTGATAATCTAATTTTTAAGTTTGGATTAATTAGTACTTTTATATTATTGCTTTGATTTTTTTATTTTTTTTGTTGATATTGATAATGCTTTTGATGTCATTATATTAGGGTCAATTACCTTGATTTTTTATTTTTGTATTTTTAAACATTTATTCCCATTATAGAGTCATACACAACAAAAGATCAATATTGATAATCACTCCAATTTCACCCTACTATCATATATGCAAAATACTTTTACTAAAACCCATTACCATTACCAAGTATTTTATTCCTATTCCTATTCCAATTCTGATTCTCATGTGTGAACCAAACACATCCTAAAAGTTTTGTATATATAAATAAAATAAATGAAAAAGACTGTGAAATAATAAATCCACATTTAAAATACAAGATTTAGAATATAATATAAAGCTAGGTGTATTAGAATATAATAGTCTTTAAAAAAAAAAAAAAAAAAAAAAAAAAAAAAAAAAAAGAAACAGAATATGATAGTTTTAATAAATTTGTTATTAGGATATGACTTTTTAAGTACTACGGAGTATTCCTTTAAAAAACAAAAACAAAAACAAAAATACTACGGAGTATTAATATAAAATAATTAATGATTATTGAATAAAAATAAATTATCAAAATAAAGAATAACTAATTAGAAGATTTTTTAGTGAACAGATACTACAATGTAATAAAGCTAGTAACATTCAAAAAAAAAAAAAAATTAGAAGATTTTTTAAAAAAAAATAAAAAAATAAAATTGACTCTGTTACAATGTAGTATATATTTATATCTACTTTGTCAACCTATTGAAGCACAAAGACTTAATACTCTCCCTCACTAGGGCTCAAATCCATGACATCCCATTTAAAAGATTCACTTCATGTTATTAGATCACAAGATCATTGACAATATAACAACTAATTAGAAGATTATGAATGAATTGAAGAAATAAACACAAAGGAAAAAGAATAAAACAAATAATAGAAAATGAATTTATATTATCTCACATAAAATATTATGCATACATTTAAAAAAAAAAAAAAAAAAACTTAACGTAATGAAAAGGAATACAAGTTTAAAGAAGGGGTGAATAGACTTGTTTAATTTTTGAAATTTTTTTCAAAGTATTGCATCGTAAAATATTTGTTACCCCTTTTAAAGTTTGTTTGAGCGTATTTTTCTCTAGTAAGTTTTAGGTTTGGTTGGTTAAATACTTGCATGAAAGTATATAGCAATAAATAAAGAGAGAGTGAGAGAGATTTTTGAAGTGGTTCGGTCAAAGACTCAGCCTACGTCAACTTTTTTTTCTTAAACACCAAGGAGGATTACACCATCACCATTAGTACAATAAAAGATCACTTAAGCCTTGAACATAAAGCCGGTCTTAAATATCTAGGTTTTTCACAAGCTACACTTGTTACTCCGCCTCTTTCAATTAAACCAAGTAGAGAATGTTGGTTTGAACACAAGGTTGTTCAGGTTTCTCAAACTATAGACTCGGCTTTGAATCTTCTTGCTTGTTGTTGTAGTATTGAGCTTGATAATTCTTTGTAACTCTTGCTTTCTCACTTCATTGGCTTCTAGCTATTACTTGTAAGCTAGTACATACTTATCACTAATTAATTTCTCAAAAGTTCTAGCCCTCATTCAGGTTTTAATGGAGGTATTTACAAATGGTCCTTGAAATTTGTCCGTTGGAGGAAAACAAAATTTCAAACGTCTTTTATCCAGTGTGCAATAACTAGTGGGTTGAGTTTTGATTTGCTTTTTGGTACGACTTTCACCAGTTGACATCACTTTTGCGTCTGCTCCTAGCTTTCTGAATTATGCAAGTTGTCTTGGCATTTTAGGAAATTTTCCTTGGAAAATGTACCTATGACACATTTTGCATTGGCTACATTCTCCTTAGCAACTTCCACATTTTGAGGTTGTTCGCTGTTCGTTCAAAAATGTTCGAACAGTGAGGTACAGGGAGTTACTTTTTACTCTCTGAAGAGTAACTCTTTGTAACAACTCTCAGCAACTCCTCGAATTTGACTTTCCTTATTCAATTCTTACTATTTGAAAATCAACTTCTCGATTTAAGTTAACTTTCTGTATCCCCTTACTATTCGGCTAAGGTTGACCCTTCCACTCTTCGGTCAAACCTTCTGGTCTTATACTCTTCATCTTCAACTCTTCGTATCTTCAAGTCTTCGAGTCTTCTACTCTTTATATCTTCAAGTCTTCGTGTGATCGTGTCTTCTACTCTTCGAGTAATCTTTTACTCTTCAAACATTAAGGCTTTGATTCTCCTGTACTTATTCTTCGAACTTCTCTTACTCTCTAGATGCATGTTTTATCCTTCAGTCTTGATTCTCCTTGAATTGAATTGGACCAAACAATAAAAATTGTCGACCTACATACAACGTAACCCATTTTTTTGTAATTTTTTGTTCAGTTCAAGGTCATTACATTTATCAATATTTGATTAAATGTGTTTGGTCAGGCTAAACCAAACAATAAAAATTTTGATTATACTCAGCCCACAAAAAAAAAAAAAAAAAAAAAAAATGTTTCCTTTATTTTTCTAGTTTAAAATTCTTATATTTATCAATTTATGTATTTATTTTTATTATAACAAGTGAAACTTTAAAATTTATTTATTTATTTCTTTTTATTATAAAAATTATTAATATTATAATTTTATAAATCTTAATTTATAATTCTATTTTAATATAAATAATTAAAATAGTGAATACTCTAAATTAAATAATTGATTCTTGTTTAATATAACAAATTATTCATATTTGAACTTATTAAGTGTTAATTATTAGGTATTTAATTCTAATTCTAATTTCATTTCTAACTTGAAGTATAAGCCGAACGCCCTAATTTTGGTAAACCCGGTATAATGCTTTCAACCGTTAACCCACCCGATTTTGTCAGTGTCTTCTCGGCGGGTCTCCCTAATCCTCCTTCACACAAAAATTAGGGTTTTCCTGAAGTTTTACAATTCTACTCGATCCAACTGTGCAAAAGCCCTTTGCTTTCTCTCCGATTCAAATGGTTCTTTCGAACATTCACCGACTTGCCCACCGCCTTTCTCTTCACTCTGTCGCCGGGAAGCTCTCACTCCTCTCTGTATGGATTCCAATCTCTCTCACACTCCCTTTCTGTGCACGTCTATTTCTCTTTCGTTGGCTGACTAAATTGCTGATCTAATTTCAGGTTTGTAGGGGTTATAGTACGGAAAAATGCTGCATATCTAATCTCCTAATTGATTCTAATTCTTCAAATAGTGTGTGAAAGTCGGCCATCTCTCAGTTTTGGCAAAAGAAATTAAAAAAAAATGTTTTTTGGCTTATACTCTGTTTCCTTGTTCCTTTACTATTTTTCAAGGGGGATTTTGTATTTGAAGAAAATTTGGGTTTGTTTAGTATCATGTGGTTTATTATTGGCAATCTTGGCATACAATTATGTGGTCTCATTCGGTTATATCTCTGTTCGGAATTTTCATTAGTCCATGATGTTTGGATGCTCCATTGCGTGCCGCACTAACAAAAACGAATAGGAACATCTTTATGGTGAAATCTTTGCCTTTGGGAAGTTTGTGAATGAAGTTGAAGATGAATTTTTTTGGCCTTTTAGTTGATTTTCCCACTTTTGATTTAACCTAATTAATTTGAAGAAATATGATATGTGCGCAGGCAGGTGAAATGAGTCACCAATTACTTTAAATTGAAGTGCAAAACCTGAATTATCAATTTTACCTTTCATTTTAACACCAATCAAAACTACCGAATGACCATTTTAACTTAAAATTCAATAGTCGAAGGACCACTTAATTTGGTGCAATTAAAAATCAAGGTACTAATTTAAGAATATATCATAATTGGAAGACCATTTTGAGAATTAATTATATAATATAATATAAAACTAGGTGAATAAGAATTAGATAGTTTATATATATATATATATATATATATATATAAAATAATAAAAAAAAATTAAAAAAATTCTATCAACCTCTACATTTGTCAATGCCCAAACTTGCCTAAAATAAGCACAATCACATAAGATGTGTAGTTGATTCCCGTTCCTCATTGCATAATGAACAAATATTACTTACATTTGTAATTCTTTTAGCCAATTCAGTCCATCTCCAGTTTGAAAGGCATCATCATGTTTAAATCTAAATTAAAAGATTCTTATTTTCAATGCAATGTTAAACCCCACACGATTTTCAATGATTTCTTGTTCAAGTTGCATGAAGTTTTGGGATTTGACATGTAATCTTTATGTAAGTTTTGATGGATGAGCCGGTATGCACTCTTCACACTAAATTTAATTCCCTCATTGTCTAAAATGTCATATCAATTTGTCTTTCTTGTCCTCTTTTTTCAATAGGTATTTTGAAGATTAAGTTAATATCCTCATTATAAAACTCTATTTTAATCAATTATTTATCCCATGATAAGTGTCAAATATGCTATATTTTGAGGGATATTTGGTAGACATTTTATGCTTTATTTGGAGTCCTTTGAGCTTCTTAGAATAACTTAATTTGCATAAAGTCAGGAACAAGGACTAATTGTGGTTGCATCAAGGGCACTTCGGCGATGTCTCGTTCAAATGAGGTGATTCAAGTGACATTGGAACCGGAAACTCAAAGGGCTACAACTTTACTAGAGATCGTAAAGTCTAATTCGAACGCCTTCAGAGTCAAATCTGCACATTAACTTGCATGCTCATGGAGAAATTGGCAGAAAGTTGTATTCAAGCTTGCAAGCGCGTAAAGCTCGTGCACGGCTCCGTAAATCAGCCCTAATGAAGGATTGAAGGCTATATAAGCTCAAGGGATCAAGTTAGAAAGGGGATATCTTTTGAGATAGTTTTAGAAAGGGTGACCAGTTAGCGGACAGATGGATGATATTCTTAGCTAGTCAAATGGATGACCGAGATAGAGAATAAATACATATGTAGGTATATTACTATATTTAGTAATGGAAACTAAGTTTACAATCAAGTTGTATGCATGTTAATTAATTATATATCGATTTGGTGCATGCATGTAAGATGCACAGGATTGGAGAATAGATATGTTTGTTTGGCTGGGTTGCATCTTTCTCACGTACCCATGCACACAAAACCTGCTAATATAATATGTTGGAGAATCCGAGCTTGTCCTTTGGTACGGTGTGTAATATTAGTACACACATTATTATATTTTTAGCTTTTGAATTTTGTATCTTTGTAGCTTCTCTGCCCTGTAGATGTTCATTGGTTTTCTGTAGAGAAGTTGTGCATTGATTTTACTTCTGGAGAAATGTCCATTGACCTTATTTTTTTAATCTGGGAAAAAAAGAATGTATATAGAAAGTATAGAAATGGTAATAGGCCAAATGGAACCGCTGGTGTAGGTATTGGAAGGCCACAAGTGCTCATACATTGGAGCTCATGGCATTATAGTCCATAAATAATGTGGTTGTCTCCTAACTCCATAAATAATTCTTGTTCTATTGACCTCATCAATAGGTTAGCAACCTACTCATCTCTTGGCAAGAGAAATTGATTCTCAGTCCAATCGTCTCAACCCGTCTATATTCAATGTCTCATTTAATTGTCCCTCTAGTTAAAGTGATCTTTAAAAAAAATGAAACAAAATAAATTTATCAACCAAAATTATACTTCGAAAAGAAATTCAAAGAATAATTATCACCAATTAACCTTAATAAGATATATGTTTTCAAAAGTTGTCAACAATTGGAACATATATATATATATATATATATATATATATATATATATATATATATATATATATATATATATATAACGTTTAAAAGCAAACAAATGATATATTGGATTTGAAGAACTCTGATCTATGAATATTTTTTAAAAAATATTTATTAAAAAATGTTGAATAAATATGTATAAAAGTTACTCCGTATTGTTTTTATTTTTACATCTCCTCTTATTATCTAAATTATAAATTAATCCATCCATCAATAAATCACACTTAATAAATATGAAAAAAAAAAATTGAGTGAAACTAAAGGTAAACTCTAGGTTTATGTATTATTACATCATTCTTCCAAAAGGGTAAACCCCAACCCTAAGGGCCCCCACACCCCGACCCGACAGAGCGGTGGGAAGTTGTAAATCATGGTGACTCAACTGAACATTAATCACCCCAACCTTAAGGACCCCCCACACCCCGGCCCGACAGAGCGGTGGGAAGTTGTAAATCATGGTGACTCAACTGAACATTAATCAGAGGATAGACCGGTGCTCACTGCGCACAAGGAGCCCCCCTCACTTTGAGAGGTTGCTCCCACACTGCCGCTGGTGAGACTTGATCCCTAGCTTATAATTTGGCTTATAGATAAGAAAAGCCCACATCTTTATGTAATTATGCAGTGACAGCAGTGTGATAATTATATCTAAATTTTAAAATGTTAGTTAATTGATCTCAATTTTTTTTTTTGTTTGTAACAATTATACTAATTGACAAAGTAAACAATTATAGGAACACTAAAAAATTTAGGTATATTAAAATAATACTGTATGTACATAAAATGGCACCAACAGTAGTGAATTTATATACCGTTAACTTTTATAAACCAATTATTGATCTTGCATTACAAGTAAAATTCTAATTTCTCTCAGAGTTTCCTTCATCTCAGGCACTAACAATGATTCAACCTTTCGGTTTTCTCTTCCTAACAAAAAACAAATTTGTTACTCACCAAAATGATCCTTTCAATTTTCATCCGGGTGTTAGATTTTGTCCTTTTGATATCAACTCATTATTATCTCAAGATGAAGATTATGAACTATGTATTATATCACAACCAGATTTCAAGAAGTTAACCTCTATAAATATAGTCTAGACGAGCTTTCAGGTTTTATTTTTATTTTTTTTGTTTTTTCATGTATATGTTAGTATGAGTTTTCATGAGTGCAGCTTGCATTGTCCATAAATAGCCGTGGGTTTCCCACGTATCCTAAAAAAATTACATCTACAGTTAGGTGAATGACATTCTTCTCTCAAATACTGCATACTCAACCAGTTAGCTAAGCCTGTGCAAGGTAGTGAATGACATTCTTAG